GGGGAACAGAGGTGTCTCCCACACTAGCAGAGCTTGCTAACTGGAGCAGACCATTTTGGGGTTCAAATACCATCCTTCTGCTTTCCCTTCCTCTATGCAGTGAGAGGAAGGGCTGTTGTGTCCCCTGAAACCCTCCTTCCGTGCCTCATCCTGGCAGATCCCCCCCAATAAGAGGGAAAGGCTGCTGGAGCACACGGCTGGACGGAGGGATGTCGGGCAGGGTGGGAGTGTGAGTGGTTCTGTCCTCCGCTCCTGTTTCTGGTTATTTCAAGCCTCAGTGCAGGAGAAGGCAGACTTTTATAAATAAGCATTTTAATAAGTGCTGTGGTTTTAGCGAGAGGCACGGCAGGGTGAGGAAGCACCTTGCACGCAACCTCAGCAGCGTGCTCCCAACCCCAGGTTTCCACCCGGGGAGATCTCACCCCAGTGCCGATCCTCTGAGCTGCTGTAGTCTTTGGTGGGGAATTGATTTCCCCGACTCATCTTTCCTCAGACCGATTTGCCTAAATTCATCAGGAAAGCAAAGATGGAGCTGTAACTTAATGAGGAATCTTAACAGCCCTCAATATCTGGGAGCGTCACATGTGCCCAGAGCTCCTGAGCAATGCGCAGGAAAACCACCAAGCACACAAGTGTAGCGGCAACACCAGCCCAGAGCTACCGTGAAGGGCTCGCGACTAAGAATAGGGTAGTTTCATGCTTTTATTCCACACCATAAAAAGCCCAGTGAGTTCATGATATGTACTTGAACCCCTGCAGGCACCCAAGAAAGCCAAGAAGAGGATTGAAGGTGCTAATTCCAACGTCTTCTCCATGTTCGAGCAGGCCCAGATCCAGGAATTCAAAGAGGTAGGTGGGTTTCAAGGGTCCTTGATGCGATGTGACCTTCAGCTCTTTCAGATCAGCGACAGGCGGTTTGCAGCAAGAGGCAGCATGTCCAGTTTCGAGCCGTTTTATTTTAAAAGTGATAAGAACAATACAGTGATGTTTTTAAATATGGCATCGCCTCCAAGCGAGCCCGCACCCTGCTTGAGGAGGGCAGGAGCACCCCTCCCGGCGAGCTCCCACCCGCTGTGCCAGCACCTCCTCACGACTTACCCCCTGCACGGCCGGCACACGGTCCTGCATAGATCCCGGTTACAGGGATAACTGGTCCCAGTTGGGGGAGCTGATGGCTCCAGTTGGTCTCATCCCGGGGTGAGAAGGCTTTGGCTAAGGCATGGGGTTTGGATGGCATTTGCGTGTGGGCTCCCATAGGGAGCCATCGCCCTGCAGCGCCCATGGGCCAGGATTGCTGCAGGATTAGGGCGATGGTTGTTGCTGGGTGAGGACCCCCAGGCCCCATCCTGTGCAGAGCTCAGAGCGCCCTGTTCCCATCCAACTCCATGGGATGAGGAGGAGGAGAGGGGGTACTAAAGCCTTTGCAAAGGTCAACAGCTCTCCTCCTCCCTGTGCTCCCTGCCCTGAGTCACTTGTCCCCTCGTCTGAGCGGGACGTGACACCCTCCTCCTGTGCTTCCAGGCGTTCACCATCATGGATCAGAACCGGGATGGCTTCATCGACAAGGCGGATCTGAGAGACACGTTTGCTGCACTCGGTGAGCCCCCTTTTAGAACCCTCCCCAACAGCTTCGACGACGTTAGACCTGTTAAGTGAAAAACCAGCTGTGAGCTCCTGTTTAACCGAGCCCCAGCGGTTAACCAGATCTCCTGTTTTGCTGAAAACCTCCTGATCCAAACCCATTTCTGTGAGCCGGAGAGGTTTCACACCGGGTGGCTCAGAGGTGCTCCTGCAGCAGCGAGTGTTTAATCCTGTAGGTACTAGAGAGAGTCAGCTCCTGGATTATACACAGCCAAACGCTCCCTGCCTTCCTGCGCGCTAAGAAGCACGTGGCTGTACCCATTCCACAGCACCCCTGGGGGTGCGGGCATTAGGGGGATTTACGGGATTTGTGGGAAGCTGTGAAGTTGCGGGCTTGGCTGTCTCATCACAGAGGCCAGCGCAAACCAGCGATGGGGCCAGGGAGTCCCAAAGACAACCCAGCCTCAGGTAGAAGGATGTAGGCATTCAGTCCTGCTCCTTTCTGACACCAGGGGCCAGGGAGAACCACAGCACTCATGGTTTTGACCCCAAAACATCTCCCTGATGGCTGATCCATGGGGCAGTGAGGGAAGGAAGTAGCACAGCTCCGTCCTTTGCAGCCCTCTCTTCTGTGATCCTGGAGCCCAGGAAACCAGAGCTGGGGGTGTCCAACCCACCCATCCTCCACCAGCACACGATTCTCCCCTGCCTCACTTGGGTTGCTGATGTTTCTTGTTCGAGATTGCTCCCCAAGGTTGTGTCACTTCCCTCAGGTGGGGGAAAAAAAAACCCAGAGGAAGGTTTCTGTGGTGTGTCTTCTAGTCCCCAGCACACGGAGCAGAGCCAGGAGGTCTGCATATATTTGTAGCCAGAGATGGAGACATGATTCACCCAACCGTGCTCTCCTCTAGGGCGCCTGAATGTGAAAAATGAGGAGATCGATGAGATGATAAAGGAGGCACCGGGCCCAATCAACTTCACCGTGTTCCTCACCATGTTTGGGGAGAAACTCAAGGGTGAGAGGGCACCTGGGGAGCTGGGGGGGTGGTTGGTGGGCACCCACACCATCATCAATATCCTGTCCCACCTGGGGAAGCCACACAACTCCTGGGACCTCTGTCACCCATCACTCTGTCGTCCTTGGGGGCCTCAGATGGGAGCTGCTGAAGGAAAGGCGGGTGGCACCACCAGCCACGCTGCAGCAGGCAGAGCCGGGGAAGTGGGTCAGGGCAAGGATTCCTCCCACGCTACGGCCAAGAGGTGACACCTGGGGACAACCACGGGATGCCTGTGAAATGGCCTCCCTCACCCATCCCTCCCACATCCCTCAGTGCCATCTTCTCACAGTGGCAGCGCAGGGACCCCCCCAAAGATAGAGGCAGTGGTGGGACCATCACCAGCAACAACCTCTCTCCCCGAGAGCTTCAGTCCTTGTACTCCAGATCCCGGACTTTGGCACTCTCTCTGACTCCCCGTCTCAAGACACCACAGACAGGACAAACTCAGCTTCATGCACCTTGAGCAACTGTCCCCAAGGAGGTCCCTGCACCCCAAAACTCATGCCGATTTGTAATACCAACAGTCCCAAAGGCAGGGCTGGGGCCGCCCATCCAGAGACCTGGATCTCATCCTGTGTCTCCCCAACCTGTTGGGGGGTATGAGCAAGTCTCTGTGCCTCAGTTTCACCAGCCATTTAAAAAAACCCAACAGGCTGTGATGCTGCTGACCCCACAGAAAGAGGGGACCGGAGATCTTGCAGCACCTCTGAGCCTGCTGACACCCGTGGTGGCACCCACGGCCACCCTGGCAAGGGCACTGGCTACAGCATGACTTTGACCCAACGGCCCCGTCTGGCGGCACCCCGTATCACTTACACAACCCCAGGCATGCAGCCTCCCCGCAGACCTCCAGGAGGCTACGTGGCCCCAAGGGCCTGTGCCTGGAGCTCTATAAATACACCCAAAAGATTAGATAGAGGCCGGATGCCAGGGCGGCGGTGACACAGCCTGCTTTGTGGGCACACCACGATCCTACGTCTGCTCCTCTCACCACCCGTGCTCAAGGCTCCAGCTGCAGGGTTGGTGTTCCTGCGGGGCCCCTCGCTTCCCAGCCTGCCCCCCATCTTCTCCCCAAAGGCTGGGAGAAGCAGGAGGCTGCATCTGGCTTCCCTCTCCGCCGCCTCGAATGGCCGTGGCCATGTCACCTGCAGGTGCCGACCCAGAGGAAACGATCCTGAACGCGTTCAAGGTGTTCGATCCAGAGGGAAAAGGCCTGAAATCTGCCTAGTGAGTACAGGGGGGGCTAGGGGGGGCGGGCAAGCGTCCCCTCCGAGGCCTCCCTGCTGCTCACAGTGCTCTCTTGTTTGCAGCATCAAAGAAATGCTGATGACGCAGGGTGAGAGGTTTTCCCAGGAAGAGGTACGAGCTCCTTCCCCCCCAAAGCCAGCCTCCCGTGCCCTCCATCCCAACAGACCCCCAGACCTCCTCCCAGCCCCAGCCCCAAACCCCTTCTGCGCCACCTTTTCACCCTGGCTCTTTCCCAGCAGATCGATCAGATGTTTGCAGCCTTCCCTCCAGACATGTCAGGCAACCTGGATTACAAAAACCTTGTCCACGTCATCACACACGGCGAAGAGAAGGACTAGCCCGTGCTCGGCGCTGGGGCTGGCACCGCGGGGTCGCCTCTCTCTAGGTCACATCGGGGGGTCCCTTTGCCTCGCCCCACCATGGATAGCATCCACATTAAACCGCCTTTTGGCAAGAGGAAACCCAGCTGCTGGCGTGAGTGGTGTTTAGGCTCGCGTGGTGTGTCTGCACGGGGCATCTGTGCCCAGCAGGAGCCCCCAGAGCCACCCCAGACCCCGTTGCCCCCAGCCTCACCCTGGCGTGCCCTCAAGTCCCTTTGCCTCGCCGTTTCCCAGCCTGGCCCAGATCCCAGCCTGTTTCGCACTGGGCTGTGGCTAGCAGCCATCTGCTCCCACCAGCCCAAGACCAGCACTGAGGTCAGCTTTACTTCAGGAGCAGAGGGCTCCCAGCTTAGCAGGGAACACCCAGCGAGCACACTCATGGCCCCTGCACCCCACCATGCCCTCCCTGGGCCCCTCAGAGGTGCAGAGGTCCCTCGTGGTGCAGGACCGGGGCCGTGCTCCCCATCTCCTCCCCGGCAGCCGTGCAATGTCCAGCTTCCAGAGGAGCGTTGGGTCGTGCAGCGGGGACAGCACCCCGCTGGAGAGCAGCTGTTCCCACCCCCGGTCATGGCTCCTGTCAGCAGTGGGCGAAGAAATGCCCAAATATCCCCCAGCGAGATTTTGAAGCCTGTAGAAGGCGTTGGGCTCCTTCCAGAGGAGAAGGGAGACGGAATCATGTCCAGGGCGCAGAAGCAGAGGGCGAGTTTAATTCATCCCCGCTGGCTCTCACACGTTAACACCACTCCTCTTCTTTCCTGTGCTGGTGGTGTCGCTCCTGCTTTTTCCCCTGGCTCTGGTGAACCAGCTGGCAGAGCTGGCTGTGGTCCAGCGGCACCTCCACTGCCCAAGAAAATGGCCGCCCCCATCACCGACCCCACCCCGGGCTTTATATACCCGTCAGGGTGGGGCAGGCTGGTTGGGATTGGCTGGGGACGATAGGGGACAGCAGGGGATTGGCCGGGCATCCAAGGGGGGGAACGGTGGATTGGGTGGTTGCGCGGCCCCTCCCTCCCGCCTCCCACACTCACAGGCCTCGGTGGCGTCGGTGGTGCCGTCCAGGGTGGGGGGCAGCGGGCAGAGCCGGGCCTGGTCCGTCGCCTGAAGGTGCTCGGTGCTGCCCAGCAGCGGGCTGACGAAGGGCTCGCCCAGGAGCTCAGCCTCAGCCGATGTGTAGCGCAGGATGGACTCCAGCAGCAGGAGCTCCTTGGTTTTCTCCACAAGACCTGGGTGGGAGGCAGCGCCATGCCGCAGCGTCCCTGCGCCGCGTCCCTGCCCAAACCCACGCCCGGCGCTTTGCTGAGCCTTGATTTCCCCGAGGCAGTGCCGTTGGGCAACCTGGCTCTCCAGGGGCAAGGGGCCAAGGCTGGGTCCTACACTCAGAGCTGAGATAAGGGCTTGGGCATCCCCCAGGATATTTATACAGCCAGGTTAAGCTCCTGGATTTGCTGAGAATTTGGCACCCCAAATTCACATTAGGGACATCCATGCACGGATGGGGCAGGGGAAAAAAACCAAAACAAAACAGCTCGACTAAAACAACAGTGGAAGAGGGTGGTGGACATACAAGGTCCAGGCCATGTGGCAGGGGAAGACAGACAGCCCTGACCCACCGGAAAACTGTGTCAGGTTCAGCTCCATGATCTGCTTGTTTTCTCTGAGCTGCTGCCTTATCTTTGTAGCGTCGCAGTTGTTTTCTTTGCACAGGTCCTCCACGTCGGATTTGAGCTGGCCCAGGACTTTGCTGCTCTTTTTGCATCTCTCCTCGTACCGCCTGGTTTCCTCGGTGGTTTCCGTTAGTTTTTCCTAGGTTTTGCTAAGTGTTACACCAGCCCCCTGCTTTCCCCCCACCCCAGAGCTCCCATTTCCAGTCTGGACACTGGACACGTCCCAGAAGATGCTGCGGGATGCTCTCATCCCTGAGGGGAAAAGGCTCTATGGAGGATCTCAAGCTCCCTGTGCCACAGATGAGGCCTCAGATGCTGGAGGACCAGGGCTGGCAGGAACCCTGCAGTCGCCTCTCGCCATGCGCTGAGAGACCGGGCTGCCCGAGCCGACGCAGGGCCCTTTTCTGCCCGCACCTCCCCAGGCGTTGGCCAGAGCAGCACTGACAGGACCAGACAGGGCTCCGCCGCCCTCGCAGAGGGAATCCCCGGGTGACATACCTCCAGCTCCTTCAGGATACGAAGGTTGCTGCTCTCTGCACGCTCCCGGTCCATCACGATGGCCGTAATTTCATTCTGGGTGAACACAAGCACACGGAGGGGACGCTGGCTGTATGCCCACCAGACGTGCCTAACAGAGGCTGGGGACCATCCCTCCGCCCTGGGAGCAGGGATGTCCCACTTGGCCCCTCTGGGGACCGCTGTCCCCAGGCCAGGGGGGCAGATGACAACCCCACAACAAGCACTTCTTGCTCCAGCCAGCCCCTGCACACAGCTGAGGCAGCTCTTGGCCCTCCTGGATACTGCAGTATTTTTGCTGGGTACACGGTGGCAGCATTGAGACACTTTTAGCTCTGAGAACGCAACATTCTGGCTATTGGAGTTATATTTCTGGCTCTCCCTTTGCATTCCCCTAATCCCACCCGTGTGACAGGCTATGAGCCGGGCTCTGGTGTGAGCAGTGATGCTGGACACACGGCAGAGGAAAAATCCACCCCAGGCCAAAAGCACCAGCTGAGAAAGGGGAGACACGAAGAGCCTGGAACAGACCTGGAGGTCCTCAATCTTCTGATGTATCTTGTTCATCTCGCTGCTCAGCTTGGTGGCATAGCTGAAGCAGGACAAGTTCTTCCCCTCCCTTTCGATGAAGCCATTCACCAGCCGATCGATGTCCCCGTCCTCCGCCAGCTCCATCAGGCGCCTGTAAGCCACTTCATGGCTCACGCTTTGCCTCTGCTTCACCCGCTGGGCTACCTTCAGGGCTGAGGGAGAGAAATAGAGCCTGGGCTGTGCGTGTCCCCACAAGCTGCCCTTTGCAGAGCCTTCCCCTGTGGGTGCTGTGGGGTTTGGTGGGGTGCTTGGGGCAAGGGGGGGGCAGAAAGCATCTCTATGTCAGTCAGAAATTAAGCAAGTAGGTCACAGTCTGCATGGGAACAGGGCAAACACAGTGGGATCCCTCTCTGGGAGGATAAAAGGAGCCATGGCTGCACATGGAGACAGGTCCCTACCTCCCCAACCCTCTCTTTCCCCCAAGGGCTCCCCGAAAGGTTTTGGGTGGCCTCACTTGACTATCACTGTTCCTTCTGCAGGGCAAAGGGTGGGTGAAGGAGCCCGCAGGGAGGGGAGAGGTCCTGCCTTTGGGGTGCAGTGTGATAAGCAGCCCCCTTGCCAGCCCTGCAGGCTCCTGGTTCGTGGTCCCAGGTGCACATGGGTTCTTTCATCTGATACCTTTTTTCTCTTTGGCCTGTTTCTCCATTTCAGAGCGATTTCTAGATTTGGTGAGCATGAAGTTTTTCACTTGGGCATTCTGGACAAGGACACGCTTCCGCTCCCGCATCTCAGTGTTGAAGTGGACAGTGTCTTTGTTGTGCTGTTCTTTCATGGCTGAAATCTTTGCCAGAGAGTCCATCCTGCACAGAGAAAGTAGCAGGTTACACCATGTGTAGGTCTAAAAATTTGTAGTCCTGGCTATTCCCACGCATCTCTGTGCCTGACCTAGCAAAGCTCCCGTGATGCTGCACGTGTTGCCCGGCTCCTGGCCCTCTGCAACTCCCTGCCAGGAGGGTGCAGAGGGGGGGGATGAGTCTCTGGAGCCAAGGCCCCAGCGCCAGGCCCCGAGGGAATGGCCTCAAGCTGCCCAGGGCAGGGTCAGGCTGGCTCTGAGGAAGGATTTCTGTGCAGAAGGGGCTGTTGGGCGTTGGAATGGGCTGCCCAGGGCAGGGGGGAGTCCCCGGGATCCCTGGGGGGGTTGAAAAGTCGGGCTGAGCCAGCGCTGAGGGATCTGGGGGAGTTGGGAACGGTCAGGGGGAGGGTCATGGTTGGGCTGAGGAGCTGCAGGGGCTTTTCCAACCCAGATGATTCTGGGATTCTGTGATACTCGTCACTGGCATCGCCCATCAGTGCCCAGTTTGCCACAGAGGGTTTGCAAGGCCACGTACCACTGCTTGTGGGCTTGTGCAGATTGCTCAATAGCAGCGTTCATCCTTCTCATCTGCTGATCCAGCTTCTTGTGGAGCTTCATGTAGGAGTTGTCCAAAACAGCTTTCTGGGTTCGCAGGTTTTCGATCTCTTCTTGGAGCTTGTTATTTCCAGTCAGGATGGTATTGAAATGAACAGTGACCTGGCGAGAGGGAAGCAAAAGGTGTAGGACGGGGGAGCTCAGGTCTCTGCTGAAGGACCTTGACCAGGGCTGGGACAAACACAGCCCAAGAGATTTTTAAGTTGGCCCTCCACTATCTTTCTCCTCCAGACAGAGGAGGCAACTGTATGCCAGGCCAGTCATGGCAGAGACCTGGAGCTGGCATTGTTCAAGGCAGAGTGGCTCCAGGCAGCTCGGTTTTATCACTAAACAGGTGCAGACCTTCAGGCTGCTTGGCATGGCACAAGAGCTGCATTTGGGTCACCAAGCTTGAAGGAGCCTTTGAGATATTCTGGGAACAATTAGGCCAAAGGAACAAGCCCCGTCCTTTATGCGGCTTGTGTCAACCAAATGCATTTGAACCGTTACCCTTTATCATCCTGACCAAAAAAAACCATTTTGCACACAGGCCCCAGTGTGGCCTCGCACGTGGTCTCCGAAGGTCTGCAGAATGTTTCCTCACGTTGTTTAGATGCGTCTCCAGTGCCTCAATCTTCTTTTGCAGTCGTTTGCTACAGTTCACTTGCTTCACGTTCACTGCTATCTGGTTTTGCCTCACCACCTTTTTTTCCAGCTCTAGTATCTGCACACACAGAAGAAAAAAAAAAAAAAAAAAA